GAGCACAGGCTTGGGTTTGTGTGGATGGGTAGTCAGTGGTGGAGCCACGTATACAGTTGTCACATTGACTTGAGCCCGTTTCGATTTGCTCGAGACAAAATTGAGAAGAGATACCCTCCAAATGAGAAAGTGATATTCTTTCAGATTGATTCAATGATCTTGGGTCCTCCTTTTTCAGGTCTTTTCGTCATGAGTTTTGAGAGCTGATTCATCCTCCATCTTTTCGATGTTTTAGGTGGATCAGTTCCTCCTCTCTCATCCCCATTTTTATTCTTTTTTTTTTTGCTTGCTTCTTGGTTCGGTTTTCAGTGCTTATGTCCGATACATAAGTGTAAACGTATATCCTTTTGCTATATGCGAAACCATCAAGCAAGGTCGCAAGTATGTCAGTTTTATTTTGGGGCTTATGGCGGTGATGACAAAGGCACACCTGTGGTAGGGCAAAACGATATTCCATCCTACGACATCAGGACCCCCTCCAGGGACCCGGTGAACCGTAGGATGTAATATCATTAATCGACACAAGACTAGCGGGGGACCCATACCTTCTTAGGTTGTAGGCGGTCCTACGCCCGACAACGTAATCGACTCGTGGACAACTACACTTTTCAAAACTGATACAACTCCCTTTTTGTATGACTGAAATCCACGTGCATGCTAAAATATAAAATTTAAATGTATTATAACTTAGTTGTCCACTTGTTGATTACCGGTACCAGACTAAGTAACACGCTCCTAAGTTAGGTTTAGTAGGATATCCTTCTAGTTGAGTGGCGGGTTCTATACATCCGGGTGACCGAGTAGCCTTCGACGACCATCGAGTACAAATATATATATCTGAGCTTAGCCTCGACCCGAGTGCTTGCGGTCCCTCTTTTCGGATTTTTTGTATGTTTTATTGGAATTTTTGGACAAAGCACTCGTGGTCTTTTCTCACAGTTTTGACAGTTTTATTTAAATTACTACTCGTTGATTTTCTCGAGTTTTCCAGACGACGTTTCCTTTGTTGTTCACTTTTGCCTATACAATACATGCTAGCTCATTCCTTAAATTCTATTGCTCTACTTATAACTGCTCCATCAATTACACTTAAAGGAGCAGCGGACCTCCGAAATATATGGGTTTGTTTTACATTTTGCAGCGCTTTATTTTACAACACTTTACTATTTCTTGTCTACTGTACATTCTACTGCTTTCATTTGTTATACCTGCTACTGCCTCTTTTGCACACTATACCTTAGAACAGGCGGACAGTAGTTGATTTTATAGGGGTTACCCGACAACAGATCGTTGACTCAATAATTGCATGTGCACATAGAACTAATGTTGAACTCAAAGGTGCTACGACAAGGAGCTTTGAGCTAGCATTGTAGGTAGCACGACTATCTTCAACAACAAAACACGTCTACACCAGCTAAACCATTTCTCAGAAATTTAAACAACAATCCATAGGATTTCGATGTTGTCCGCTTAGTGCGACATAAATCCCCAACCTTTCTTTAGGCCTTTGTACAACTTTGCTGTACAATATAAGTCCTAACCTGTGTTAGGATTCTGAGGTTGTCGTCCGTCACGACCTAAATCCTCACATCTTCCAGGCTATTTGTGTGATCATTTCACATGAATATAGTTTCACACAAGTATAAACCCTAAATAAATAAAATTGATAGGACGAAATACTTAAATAATTTCTCCCCAAAACTGAAGCCAAACCATAGGGTAGACTGGGAAGTCATCGAAGTTTTCCTTCGGATCTATGACATCCCCTAGTTCTTCCTCTTTTGGATGCTATAACAAATGCTCCAAATTTGAGTCAATCTCATTTCACACCTTTTTGTCCGATCTCATTGAAAAGTCCTATACTTTTGACATTTTTAAAGATAATATTTCCTGATTTTTGTCGAGTTTTCTTAGGTGACTTCCGTCATTTAAGATGTAGTTAACTATAAGGGCTTGCCCTTATAGGAAATTTTTCCGAACCCAGCTTAATATAAACCATATTTAATTCTTCATATTAAATAGAAGAACTTGTCGACAATCAAAATGGTTTTGCAGACCAAATGGACGTCATATTTTTCTTAATTTATTTGATCGTGCCTCACCCTCAAGTCTTGTGTTTACCCTTCGGGATAGATACATAGTTTGATGTACAATGCTCTTTCATTTAAACTGTGAAAATATATGGTCAGTTTGATTTTATATTTTTCTAAACTTAAATTTATATGTAAATTAAACGTTCTTCCGAAGCGGACGACTGAGTTTCGATTCCGGCGAGCGATAACTTTCAACGGGCAACTCAACTTTTTAGTGCCGACAATAATTTTGGAGCTTATTAGGACGCACGGGCTGCTTATGAGGTGTTCCAGACTTATACAAGAAGAGAAATCAATATTGGTCAAGGAAGGGAACCAACCCCAATTTTATCGGTGGAATGAACTTCAGTTAAAGAAATTGGGGAGGAGAATCGTGCATAAGGAAGCTGATGATGATGATCTTTGAAGGAGTGTATGCTTATGATTAGGTTTATTTTGTGGAGAGATACTTTGCTGTTAAAGGGCTGACAGAGGAAGAAAACTTGATGGTAGCTCCTCTGTGTTTGTAAGGATATGCTCAAACATTGTATCAATGGAGAGAATAACATCAACCGAATCGAACATGGAGCACTTCAAAATAACACACAAAGGGGATTTACAAAACAGTTTTTTTGATTGGTCTAGGAAGGATTTGTTATGGAGTATGTGGAGAAATTTGAGATGCTATCTAGTCGTTTTAGAGGGATATTAGAAAAAATGTTGGAAAAAGACTTCATGAAATGTTTAAAGCCAGAGATTCGAGCACCATTTGACCTGTTGAGACTGTGAGAAGTGGGGGAAACTATGAAATTAGTGTAATTGTTGAATATAAAAATTCAATTGAACAAGCTAATAGGAGTAACACAAGTGGAGTGCCACATAGTGATGTTACAACCACGATAATACCAAAAACTCACAGTAAAAGTGTAGAGGGAGGCTCCACAAGATAGGAATAAGAGGCCACAATCGGGGGTGACATTCAAACGTCTTACTAAGACAAAAATTTATGAGAAACAGGTCAATTTTCTATGTTTTTGGTACGGTCATAAGTTTTTCCTAGGATGCCATTGCAAGGATAAGATATTACAGATTCTCACAGTGTGTGATGAGAAGGCAGGGGATGCGAAGATAGAGAAGATTGTGGTGGAGGAGGAGGAATGCCCTCACTTTGAGGTAGAAAAAGTCTTATTTAACTCGGTGGCGGGACTGACACAGAATCACAATATGAAACTTTAGGGGCGGATCAGAGAGCTTGATGTAGTTGTGTTGATAGATACTGGGGCCATCAACAACTTCATCTCAACTCAAATAATGAAGTACTTGGGGATTGAGATTGTGGATTTAGGAATTTTGAGAGTTATGATGGGGGTGAGATAGGTGGAGAGGAGCAGAGGAGTTTGTAAAAGAGTGATTTTAACACTGCCATACATTCAGGTGATGGAAGAGTTTCTTCCCTTGAATTCAGAGAGCACTAACGTGATATTGGGTATGAAATGGTTGCAATCCACAGGGGAGACTAAGATGCATTGGAAACTTTTGACATTGTGTTTCATGAAGGAGATAAGACTGTGGTGCCTCATGAAGACCTTAGTTCGTGCAAAATCTCTGTGTCAGCGGATCCATTGAAGGTGGTGGATGGGTTGGACAGGCCGCTACCTTAGACTTTGAAGGGGTTAAGAAGGTTCAGGGGACTTGTAAAATACTTCCAGAAGTGCGTGAAGTGTTATAATTCGATTTTGTGGTTGTTGATGAAGAAATTGAAGAATGATAACTTCTGGTGGGGGAAAGTGACGTCCCAGCCTTTTGAGAAGGTGAAGAAGGCCATGAAGAATGTGCTAGAGCTGACGGTGAGACCAGATTCAAGCCTTATTAGCGGAGGCCACACGACTTGATCCATCAGCAGTTGCTCCCTCCTTAAGTAAAAAGTGTTTTTTTGGGAGGAGAGTATTGTTATGCTAAGAGCAATTTTGTCTTTTATTAGCATAAGGGCAGATTAATCTTTTATTGTTATTATTAATTTTGTTAGTATAAATAGGCTAATATATTTAGAGTTAGTGCTATGCATGTTATTGTGTCTTGAGTTTTAGGGTTAGAGTTTGTGATAGATTTTCTACCTCTCAAATTGTAGGAATTGGGAGAGATCGCCTACTTTTGAATTTGTTGGTGTTTATTTTTGTATTCGTGTTGTTTTGGATTATTAAAGAAAATATTTGCCTTGCCCTAAATTTTCTGTGAGAAATCAGTCATTTTCCAATCGCATTGATATTTAGAGAATCTTTTGATGATCAAGATATTTGTGCTGTTATCCTTTTGTTATCACTGATTTATCATTTCTAAGCCTCATGTGTCAGTTCGTTTCAGGGTGCAGTTTAACAGGCTCCAAAGCAATCATATAAAATCTCTTGAGAACTCTTTGGGGAACTTTTGTTTGATTGCTGCAGTCATCTCCAAAATATGTAATCTTTTAATTTTCACATTTTCTCCCACATGCACAGTCCCTTTTGGCTTTGTTTACATGGCTTATAAAATAGTCTTCGTACTGAGGAAAGAGAAGATTTATAAAATAGCTAAGACAAATGGTAAAGGATCTAGAAACTTTAATTAAATTAGATGTGTTTGAAGTGATGATAATAATATTTTATTTAAATATACTTCAAGGAAGGATAAAATTACTGGTTTGAGAAATTTAATGTCTAGTAGAATATACCACTACTGAATCTCAGACCCTTTTGATTTATAGTTTCTTGGGGACTGCTTATTTTTATTGTTTTCTGTATTTCTTTATGTCTTAGTCTTATTATGCTATTTATTTTATGCCCATCTACACGCTGAGAGCTCTAGTTTTTCTTGTTCTCTTCTGTTTGATCACTTGGATTTTCAAATGTTTAGACAAAAATGTACTTTTTTCTGATGGGAATTTTTTTATAGGATCATTTTTATAAGGAAGGCCTCGTGTTTTGTTCTCTTCCATTGCCAGTAAGAACAGGGCTTAATGTTCACGTGAACGGATGCTTTGAAGTTTACTCTAACAGACGTAGCATCTGGTTTGGATCTAATTTGGACCGAGTGGGAAAACTGAGGTCTGACTGGAATAGGCTACTGTTAGAATTTGTTGTTGCTCCAGCCTATTGTGAGTTGCTGGTTGGTTTGAGCAAGCTGTTTGGTCCCACCATGCAATACTATTCTGTTTGGCCAACTGGTTTATATGAGGAGCCATGGAGTATTTTAGTCGAGAATATATACAGAATTGCTTATTCTGCTAAGGTCTTATATTCTAATTTTGCAGGTGGAAATTGGATATCGCCAGCTGAGGCGTTCTTTCACGATTTGGATTTTAAAAAAAGTGAAATACTAGGCGAGGCTCTAGTCTTATTAGGGATGCCCGTTGTTTGTCTACCTGCTTTCATTTTTGAGACAATGTATAAATTTTGGTCAAATTTTAATATCAGTTTGGTTAGTCCTGTAATAGTACGAAGATTCCTAAAGGAAAGTATGAAACTAGGCACATTAAACAAATCATACAAATTAGTTCTATTAGAATACTGTCTAACTGACCTGAGCAATGAGGATGTTGATAAACATGTAGAGGGTCTTGCATTGCTTCCTTTGGCAAATGATGAGTTTGGAACCTTTACCAAGACCATGAAGGGAACAAATTATTTTATTTGCAGTGAGCTTGAATACAGTGTTTTGGGATTGATTCCTGATATAATGATTGATCGAACCATTCCATCTGAGTTATTGAATAGCCTTTCTGACATTGCTATTTGTTCTCAAACGAATCTAACATTTCTCAATGAGAAATACTTTCTGCAGCTATTCCCAAGGATCTTCCCTGCTGAATGGAGGTGTGAGAACAGGGTTGCATTGAATCCTGGTGTAGGCACTTCTGTTCCAACGCCAACTTGGTTTACATATTTCTGGGACTATATTCAAAATCAATCTTATGATATATCAACATTTGGTGAGTGGCCTATTTTGCCATCTACTTCTGGGCACCTTTACAGAACATCGAAAACCTCTAAGTTTATCAGTTCAGAGAAGCTATCTGAAACATTGCAGGAGCTTCTAGTGAAAATCGGCTGTAAAATCCTCGATCCAGCATACAAAATTAATCATCGTGATTTATCTCTATATGTTTCGGATAGTGATGCTGGTGGCATTCTGAACTCTATTTTTGATTCCGTTTCGTCTGAGGGGAATGAAAGATGGTTGCCTTTTCAAGTTCTCTCTGTTCCTGAGAAAATTGAGCTCAGCAGGTTTCTACTTCATCCAAAGTGGTATCTCGGAGGCTTTCTTTCTGACACTCATATTAAAAATGCAAAGAGGCTTCCTATTTACAGAGTCTATGGTGAACAGAATGACGAAAACATTCATTTTCATAATTTGGAATGTCCTACGAGATATTTACCACCTGTAGATATTCCCATACGCTTTCTGAACGGTGATTTTGTTTTCTGTTCATCTATTACTGAAGAAGATATTTTGCTGAGGTACTTTGGTATTGAGCGCATGCCAAAGTCTGCTTTCTACAAGAAGTATGTTCAGAGTAGACTTGGTGAATTGCAATCTGATGTTCGTGATGAGATTATGCTATCTATTCTAAAAGAACTGCCACAACTGTGTCTTGATGATTCTTCTATCAAGGAATCTTTGCGTAAATTAAAATTTATACCCACTGTCAGCGGAAGCTTAGATTGTCCTGAATCTCTATATGATCCTCGCGTTGATGAACTTTATGCTCTTCTCGAAGATTCAAATTGTTTTCCTGGTGGCTTATTTCGAGAACCCAGTGTTCTGGACATGTTACTCTGCTTGGGACTTAGAACATCAGTTTCAGCAGACACAATTATAAAGAGCGCACGTCAAGTTGAATCGTTGATGCGTGAGGATCAGTTAAAGGCTTCTTTACATGGGAAGGTGCTTCTTTCATACCTTGAAGTTCATTCAGATAAGTGGTTCTGTAATAATGATTGTCAAAAGGGTGTAAACATGATGTTTTCAAGAGTTGCTGCGTCAAGAATGCGTGGTAATAATCCTTCACGAGATGGTATTGAAAAATTCTGGAATGATCTTAGAATGATATGCTGGTGCCCTGTATTGGATTCTGCACCCCATGCAACGTTGCCATGGCCTGTAGTTTCATCCATGGTGGCCCCTCCTAAGATAGTTAGACCAAGAGAAGATATATGGCTTGTTTCTGCAAGTTCACGAATTCTTGATGGAGAATGCCGGTCATTTGCTTTGTCCTGGAGCTTAGGTTGGTATTTACCTCCCAGTGGAAATGTGATTGCTGCTCAACTGCTTGAACTTGGAAAAAACAATGAGATTGTGGTAGATCAGATTCTTCGACAAGAATTAGCAATAGCAATGCCTAAGCTATACTCCCTATTGTCAAATTTGATAGGCTCAGATGAGATGGACATTGTTAAAGTTATTCTTGAAGGTTGTAGATGGATTTGGGTGGGAGATGGATTTTCAACTGTCAGTGAGGTTGTTCTTAATGGACAGTTCCATTTGGCTCCCTACATACGTGTTATTCCTGTTGATTTAGCTGTATTCAGGGACCTATTTTTGGAGCTTGGAGTACAAGAGTGCTTGAAGCCTGTGGATTATGTCAATATTCTTTGCCGAATGGCAGGTAAGAAAGGCTGCATTCCACTTGATGCTCAAGAGCTTCGAGCGGCTGTGTCCTTCGCTCAGCAACTTGCAGAAATCCAGTTTCAGAGTTTGTATGTTAAAGTTTATTTACCTGATCTCTCATCTCGGTTAATTACAGCAACTGATTTAGTTTACAATGATGCTCCCTGGTTGCTTGATTTGGAAGAGAATGCAAGTGGAAATGGGTCTAGTGTTTCACTAAAGCGTAAGAACAATAGATGTAACTTCGTGCATGGCAACATTTCAAATGATATTGCTGAAAAACTTGGTGTACATTCTCTTCGTCGTCTTTTACTTGCTGAAAGTTCTGATTCAATGAATTTAAGCCTAGCAGGAGTTGCTGAAGCGTTTGGTCAACATGAGGCATTAACAACAAGGCTTAAGCATATTGTTGAAATGTATGCAGATGGGCCGGGAATACTTTTTGAGCTTGTACAAAATGCTGAGGATGCACAGGCTTCTGAAGTGGTTTTTCTTTTGGATAAAACTCAATATGGTACGTCATCCGTTCTTTCACCTCAAATGGCAGAATGGCAAGGTCCCGCACTATACTGCTTTAATGATTCAGTTTTCAGTTCTCAAGATTTGTATGCAATATCACGTATTGGCCAAGACAGTAAACTTGACAAGCCTTTTGCAATTGGAAGGTTTGGACTTGGCTTCAATTCTGTTTATCACTTTACAGATATACCTGGTTTTGTTTCCGGTGAGAACATTGTGATTTTTGATCCTCATGCTTGCCACCTGCCAGGAATATCTCCTAGTCATCCAGGCCTGAGGATAGAATTTGTCGGAAGAAAGATCTTGGAGCAGTTTCCAGATCAGTTCATGCCATTCTTACACTTTGGCTGTGATTTACAACAACCATTTCCTGGTACCCTATTTCGATTTCCACTCAGGAACAAAACTGCAGCTCTCAGAAGCCAGATTAAGAAAGAAAAATATTCGCCTGATGATGTGGAGTTGCTTTTCAATTCTTTCAAAGAAGTTGTATCTGAGTCGCTGTTGTTTCTTCATAATATCCAAAGGGTAACTATTTTTATAAAAGATGGTCCCGGGCTTCAGATGCAGTTAATACATCGTGTGTCTAGGCACAGTGATACTGGGCTTGGAAAGGAGCTTCATCCCCTTCATAAAATGCTCAGCTTTGTGCATGGAAACCAGCAAAATGGGATGAGTAGGGATCAGTTCATGGCAAAATTAGATAAAATTTCTGAAAGAGACCTGCCATGGAGTTGCCAGAAGATTTTATTGTTGGAGCAAAGTCTTTCTGGTTCTCAGTTACATTTTTGGGTTGTTAGTGAATGTATAGGTGGTGGGCGGGCAAAAAGTAAATCTTTATCTGTAATTAACCAATCATTTAAATTTGTTCCCTGGGCATCAGTTTCCTGCTACCTTCACTCTGCTAACTTGCAGGATTTAAAAGATAATTTCCTAGATACCACAGTAGATTATTATGCTTCTTTAGTTGCTCTAGGTGAAATGACTGCAGTATATTACAGAAAAACTTTTGTAGGCAGGGCGTTTTGCTTCCTCCCTTTGCCAATTTCTACTGGTCTTCCAATACATATTAATGCATATTTTGAATTATCTTCAAACAGAAGAGACATATGGTTTGGTAATGACATGGCGGGTGGTGGAAAAGTTCGTTCAGAGTGGAACCTTTGTCTCCTTGAAGATGTAATTCCTAGTGCTTATGGTCGTTTGTTGGTTTGCATTGCACGAGAGCTTGGTCCATGCGATCTTTACTTCTCTTTTTGGCCTACTTCCACTGGTCTTGAACCATGGGAATCAATGGTGAAGCAATTCTATGCATTTCTGTCTGATCAAAAGCTTTCTGTTTTGTACACAAAAGCTAGAGGCGGGCATTGGATTTCAGCAAAAGAGACCATCTTTCCTGACTTTACTTTTCCAAAAGCGATTGAGCTTGCAGAAGTGTTATCAGAAGCTGGCTTGCCTGTAGCTAATGTATCAAATGATATTGTGCAAAGATTTATGGTCTCATGCCCCTCGCTGCATTTTCTAACTCCTCAGTTTTTAAGATGCTTATTGATTCGCCGCCATTATGTATTTAAGAAGAAAGATGACATCGTCACCACGTTAGATTACTGCTTGAGTGATTATGGAATAATTTCTTCTTGTGGTTCATTAAATGGATTACCTTTGTTACCTTTAGCAAATTGTAAATTTGCTTCATTTAACAAACGGGGAGAAGGTGATAGAGTATTCGTTGTATCTACTGAGGCATTTGACCTTCTTTTCGATTCAGTTCCACATCTTCTTGTTGACTGTTCCATTCCTGATAGTACGTTGAAGAAGCTGACAGACATTGCTAATTCTGGCCTAACTAACTTGCATGTATTGACATGCTATTCTCTTGTGGAACTTTTGCCATGGATTCTTCCAACTGAATGGCAGCATTCTAGGCTGGTTCGATGGACTCCAGGCGATCACGGTCACCCAAGTTTTGAATGGATGGGGTTACTCTGGAAATATTTGAAGGCATCCTGTAACGATCTTTCAATATTTAACATGTGGCCTATTTTACCTGTAAAAAATGGTTTTCTTTTGCAACTTGTTGAAAATTCTGTTGTAGTCAGAAATGATGGATGGAGTGAAAATTTGTCGTCTTTACTGCAGAAATTGGGTTGTTATTTTTTGTGTTCTGACTTATCCCTAGATCATCCCCATTTGAGGAGCTTTGTGTGGGATGCGACAGCAGTTGGCATTCTGAATGCTATACGAGCTTCTTGTCAGCTGCAAGATATGAGGAACTTATTTTTTAATGCCTCCAAGGCAGAGATGAGGGAACTGAGGAGTTTCATTTTCCAGTCCAGGTGGTTTTCTGGGGACCAAATGGGCTCCATGCAAATTGACATAATCAAACAACTTCCAATTTTTGAGTCTTATAAAAATGAGGTGCTTTTAGCTTTGATTAATCCATTAAAATTTCTTAAGCCAGTAGATTTACTCGAGGATCTTGTGGATGATAATTTTATCAGAACTGACTCCGAGAGGGAAAAGAGTATTTTGCAAAATTATTTGGGGATTAGAGAATTGTCAAAAGCTGAGTTTTACGAAAACTATGTTTTTCATCGAATAGAATGTTTCCTTGTGCGGCCTAGTGTTCTTTTCGCTATCTTTGTTGATTTGAAACAGTTAGTTGAAGAGGATGATTCCATTAAATCCACCCTATCTAAAGTGCCTTTTGTTTTAGCCGCTGATGGTTCTTGGAAGCATCCTTCCAGGTATGATCTCACTTTAATGAATATTACTTTCTTTACTGGATTTTGGCAATAATATTTTGTCAATAAAGAGTTAGGAATTTGTACCTTTATTATCACTGGTTTTTACATCTCATACCTATGATGCTTTTGTCTCACTAGACATTCTCACCTCTATGCTGGTAATATAAGCTATTCAAAATAGTTGATCAAATTCATGGTCAAATATTATTGCCAATTATAATTTGTTTGGAAAGTAATAGACTGCGTGATCATTCATATAAATAATATGGCATGACTCAATTTATTCTAGTATTTTTTAAAATTACTTTTGAATTCTATTAGAAATAATATTGTATTGAGGAATTACTTTATTGTAAGTCCTTGGTTAGCTTCATGGATCTTTTTTTATATTATATCCATATTTCATTAGGTTTAAATTTTTTCTTTTAAAAAAATTTCAACATTAATTGTACTAGCTTGCATCAAGCTAAATAAAATTGAATTAAGTTACATGTTTGTTTTACTTGTTAAATAGGCATGCTTATATAATAAATTAAACGTGAGCTATTTATCGAGTCTAAACTAGTAATTTGTGCATATTTTTAGGAGAAAATGATATAAACTCATTTTATGTAATTAACTAGAATTAGCATGGAAGAAACAAAATACATCAACTAGACAAATAAAGTGAATGCCCTATGAACTAAAATCCTTCAATGCTTGAGAACTGTAAAATGTAGCATCTCCTAGCTTGAAGTTTAATGAAAATACGAGAGTGATTATGAAGCATCATTATCATCACTCTCAACATAATGTAATAATAACTAATTATCATTTTATTGACTATATTTAGTAAAAATAATTTGATCTCTTAAAATCTTCAAATTGCTAAACCTATAATAATAACACAAGTATATGTATTGATCAATTAATAAAGAGCTCTAATGGAGTCCTAAGTATCGATCCCACAGGAAAGTTAGAAATGATTATGAATAAATTCTTATGATTATAATGAAAAACACAATTCAAACTTCAAAACTTAAATGCAAAATTAAAATTTAAAGTAATTTAATATATGTTAAATAAAATGAAGTTAAAAGAATTACGTTAACTAAACTATTTTCTAAACTTCAAAAGTAAACTTATCAAAACTAAACAGAGTTTATGTGATGAAGAGTTCAAATTTAAGAAAAAATCCTTCCCCTTTACAGTGAGTATATGGATTGTGAAGAAATTAAAATCATTTGAATATATAAATATATATATACATATATATATATATATATATATATAAAGAGCAGCTCGTGGCTCCTTATGATAATTGGTTTTTATAATTTTAATATCAAAAGAAGGATTACAAAGGTTTAGTGAGAAAATTGGATCCCCGCTAAAAAACAAAACAACACATAAAGTCCTAGGGGTTCCATTTTCTACAGTACAACTCCACCCAAGAAAATAAAAGAACAGAAAAGAGATTAAAACTAGCCTAAATATACATGTATCAAACCAAAACGTATACCCACAGAAATGGCGTATATCCTCTATGAACATGTATATCAAAAGAAACGAAAAAAGAAGAATCTGTATGACAAACAACAACTTCTCGAAACCAGGAAGCCGCAGCCTGACCAAGGAATCCGTATCCTGCAACTCAAAAAGAACAGAGAAAACAGTAGAGAAATAGAAATTCCAAGTGTTAAGAAAGGAAAAACTGATCCTCATTCTTCCAACCTCCCAATCAACAAAGCCAGTCCAAACAGACCTAATAAAACAACATGAAGTATGGAGAGACAGAGAGAAATTGAAGCCATGAGCCTCCAAATAGGAAATAACATGGTCACAAATCATACCCAGATGAAAAAAGAGCAACTCTTCGAGCCTCCAACCATCCCTCTTACCCATGAAACTAACCCATACACTCTATCTCCCAAGAGCCCTACTTCCAATATAACACCTCCAAACCACCACCACCAAAGTAGCAAAGGAGCCCTGGGCCTCCATGTTAAAAATAAGGCAGCCAATATGATGCATCCCAAAAGCAAAACCACCCAGCACAACCTCCCGACCCTTAAACCGAGAAACCCTCCATCTTCATAAATTCAACCACCAGCAAATAGGGAGCCATGGGCCTCCCAAATAAAACTCAGCAGAAAAATTGAAGGATTCCTGGACCTCCATGCCAAAGATAAGAGGCCGGACGTCACATAAATAAAAAATTTAAGTAGCCATAATCTCATACTCTCTCAACTCCAAATTTCTCAAAAAAGAATAAACACAAGAAACTTCCAGCTAGAATAACATATAGGTCTCAAAAAAGAATAAACACAAGAATCCATGCCACTCGGCCAGCCAACATGCATCAAGATGTGACATTAGTACGAATATAAGGGTTATCAATATTATCCCCAACCATCAGAGTATAGAGAGAGGGGGGAGGAGTTACTCCCACCCTACATATATGACTCGTGTACCCCAAATTAGCAAGCCAATTTGCGGGTTGATTACCCTCCCGGTAGATGAAATTCCAAACGACATTCATATAAGAAATTAACCCTTTAATCCTCCTAATATAGTAAAGAATATCCCAAGGGGTGTCGGCTCTATTAGTAAAAATATCAATCAAAGAACTATTATCACTTTCAAAAGTAATATACTTCCAATTGAGAGAATAAGCCAATAAAACAACAGATAAAATAGCTCGAGCCTCAGCCTCAAAAGGGGAATCCTCCATAGAAGGGATAGAGAAGAAGAGTATACACTTTCCATAGTGATTCCTAGCAATGCCCTCACACCCAGCATTATGACCCTTCAAACTCCCATCCATATTAACTTTAATCCACCCTCTAGGGGGTGGACTCCATTTGACCAAGATAGGAGGGTGCAGGATTCTCCTGACCGCCACATTCATATGCCCCAAAGCCAAAAAATAATTAATGCCCGAAAAGAAACCTTTTTTGGAATTTCCAAGTCTCCATAACTTATTGATGTAAGAAATTATATTAGTGAAACCATCATTTTTTGAATATCCCTACCCTCATGAATAATATCATTCCGAGCCATCCAGATAAACCAACAAATGATATAAGGGTATACTTGCCAAAAATGATTCTTCTTACCACCTGGATTGCAACACAAGGTGGTGAGAAGATTCCTCTCAGGAGAAACAATAGTACCAAACCACAGACCAACTCTTCTCCAAATAAATAAAGCAAAGGGGCAGGAGAAAAATATATGTTCAATGGTCTCCTCCGCCATCAAACACAAACAACGCCTCTAGACAATTCTCAAACCTTTCATCTTAAGGATATCATCACAAGGAATGATAGTGAAAAATACGCCAGGCCAAGAAAGACATCGACGGGGTTAAAGCCCAACTCCACACCCATTCCCCCCAAGGGGTGTTTTGAAAATTATACCGAGAAGCATATAAAGATTTAGTAATAGAGTTTGCCATGGGGAATTTCAAATAATGAGTATCATGCAAAAGAGGATCAAAAGGTATTGTGGAAATGAAATTAGCTCCCTCCAAACCCAAAATGCTAGTGAGAAGAGGGAGGTTCCAATGGCCATCAACCCAAACATCCGAAACTTTGAGATTAGAGAACCGCGTATCCCTCATATTCAACGAAGCATGAGACCAACAATTGTGCCAGAAAGATAGGTTACCTCCCCCCACCTCTCAATAAATGAAGTTCCTCGCCCAATCTCTAACATTAAGCATTCTCTTCCACATCGTGGAATTGCCCAGTCGCCAATTTATCACAGCAGGATGAGAGAAACGACAATACTTCCCATGCATAAAGTTGGCCCATAATGACTCATTTTTCCTGAAATTGAACCATTACTTGAAAAAATTAATATCAGTCATATGATGCAGAGATTTGAAACCCAAACCACCGGTACTTATGGGTTTACAAACATCCTTCCAAGGTAACCCATCTTCTACCAGAATGATTTCCCACCCATAAGAACTTATTGAAACATCTTTCAAGAATCATAATAATGCTCTTTTTGGGTTGGAGAACTTGGAGAATATATAAAGGAATAGAATGAAGCATGCTTCTTAACAGAGTAATATGACCTCCAAAGGAAAGGAAATTATTTTTCTAATCCAAGATTCTTTTTAGAATCTTATCCACAACCTCGTCAAACTGTATACGTCTCTTTCGCCCTTAAGGATGAACACCCCCAGATATTTAAGTGGAAGAGTAGAGAGGGAGAAACCCGTAAAATTAGCTATCCAAAAGGCATTAGAACGGCTAATCATTTTCCCCAAAAAAATATTACATTTATTGGCATTGAAGGAGAGGCCAGGGACCAATTGAAAATCAACCATGACATTATGTATTTCCTTAACCGAATTCTTGCTAGCATTAGAAAAGAGGATCATATCATCAACATAAGCTAAGTGAGAGACCAACATATTGGATTTATGAGCATATTGCAGCTTGGGGTTTCTTCTGAAAAGATTGTTAAGAAGACGGGAGAGATAATAAAAAAATAAGATAAATATGGTAGGGGATAAATGATCTCCCTGCTTAATCCCTCGGCCTGCACTAAAAAAGCCCTGAGATTTGCCATTAATGAGAATGCTGTATTTATTACAATGAAGCCAGAAATTTATAATTTTGCAAAACTCTTGAGAAAAGCCACGAGCATGAAGAATCTTCAAAATGAAATCCCAGCTAATCGAATCATAGGCCTTACGAATGTCCAGTTTAGTAATCATGTTACCTCCTATACACTTTTTATCAATATCAAGAATGAGTTCCTGAGCCAGCTAATATTATCGGCAATCCCCCTCCCCTGAACAAAAGCAGGTTGATTCAAAGAGATTAACTTGTGAGGTTGAAGACGTTTGACCAAAGTCTTACTAATCAACTTAGAAATAACAGAAGTTAGAGAAATAGACTTGAAATGATCCCAAGAGCTCTTTTGAGTGTTCTTAGGGATGAGGACAATAGTAGCAGCCGAGAAGTAATTTACAGGGGTTTCCCCTTTAAAGAAACTTTGTATAGCCG